CAGAATTCTTTAATTCTCAGAATTTTTTATTAGTTACCTATGGTAACAATGACTAGCATACTAACACCATCTTTTCACATATATTACTTGAAGCAACTTAACCAACTTCCTCAATCTATCAAAATAGATATATAGAAATGCCTTACATCTCGAAAATATCCATTATCGCTGGAACAGGCAAGTCACCTCAAGGAGGCTATAAAAAAAAAATAGATGCTCCAGCTAATTTTAAGGCGAAAGACTTGAAACTATGGAAAAAATAAATTCCTGACGATTAGAACGATCTCTTAAGCAATTTCACACTCAATGACGGGGACGAACTCCTTGCAACGAAAAAGATTTCGAAATACTTTCCAGACTCACCTCCCGAAGAACATATCCATGTTATTGTAAAATTGCCACGTAAGTGTCTGGGGTCTGGTACAGTCTCTATTTTTCGTCATTTGCCCTCACAATATTAACAGGTATTCGTTTCCAGTTCTTAGCTTGGAAGAGGCATTGTCGTGTATTCCGCTACCCATAACATATTCTCTGGACTGTACTAAATCGAAGACCACTACAAAGGTTAACGGTGACCCACCGGCAAGTGTACGGCTTTGGAGTGACTTTTTCGATAAAGTGAATCAATTCCGCTTCGACCAACAGCCGAGATTCGAGAGGCCACAATTTATTCCAGATAAAGAAGTAGAAAATGAAGAAGATGTTCGTGTTGCTATTGACATCAATATTTGTATGATATTGAATAGGCTTATAGAATCAGAATATAAATTTTCAAAGCGATCTACTGACACTCCTGGCATACCGGATTTCACCTGTCATTTCGTGAGTTTGTTGATCTTGGTGATGAAAGCTAAAAGAAAGCATGTTTTAGAAGATATAGGCGAACAGACATTTTTCGAGTTTTATAATACGAGTAAGAACAAGGATGTAATCCAACAAATCTATAATTATATGGGAGGAAACGAACTTAGATATAGCATTTTTACTATCTATGATAATCACTGGTTTCTACGCCGAGAACACACCGAGCTCTGGATCTCAAAAACCCTTCCACTGGAATTCGAATCTCCACTTGTACTCAAGGTATATGCTTATCTAACTCAACAGGCGAAAGAGAATCCTAAGTCTCCTAAACCTCAAGTACTAGTGCCAACTCACGGAGACAATAATTCACGTACTCTTCGGTCACATTCAAAATCTTCATCCAACTCCTCATTAAATCAACAACAAACTTCCAGCACCTCGACAAATCAACAATCATCTTCTAACATCCCTGTAGACTAGCAAAAGTTTAGCTTCACAGACTTCAAGTTTAAGGGTATTCTAGGTGAAAGACGAAGTGAAAAAACGCTCCTATATGAATTTCATGGTGAAATGATGGCTTTAAAGAGCATAGACTTATCAAAGGCCCCATCGTATGTCCTGGAAGAAATGCAAAAAGAAGTCAAAATTTATAAAGACCTAGCCGATATTCAAGGCAAGTATATCCCAAAACTGGTCTGTTATGGATATTATGGAGAAGGTATGAGTTTCGTTATAGGCATGACCATTGTCGGCACTCCGTTGAGCGAGCAAAAAATAAAGAAACAGCAAAAGACAAGGGCTATTAAGGGACTAGAAGCGATCCACAAGTATGGCATCCTTTATAATGACATTCAGGAGGAAAACATCTTAATTAATGATAATGGCGTCATCTTCCTAATTGACTTCGGGATGGCAAGTCGGGCAGACACAAAAAAGAAGAGAAAGCTTTTCGAGGAGGAACAGCTCAAATTATCTCAATTGCTAGATAGATATATTGTGTAAGAATCTATTATTTCACAAGTTCCTGTACTGCGATTTTGTAATCTTAATTTCTTATAATTAATAATAATGTATTTTTCAGACAATTCGTAAAGAATGTGGGACGTATTTCCAAGTCACGTAAATGTAAGGTGGTTAGTTAGATTGTAGAAATAGATACTAGCAGGTCCCTTTAGAAACTTTATGTATCCTGGGCTACGTCCTAAACTATGTATTTTATTTTTTGCATGTAATAATAAAAATTTTTCTTGGAAATTTTCCATGACGGGAAACACACTTCCTGTCACTCAAATTTTTTAGCAGAATTATGTATATACTAACAGACTTTTGAATATTTCATATCTTTTATAAAAGTATTATCAATCATGTCGTCAAAGCTTGAATTGTTGAAGCAACGCATTACTGACCTTGAAGCTGAAAAAGTCGAGCTTAAGGGCGAGAATGCTGAGCTTAAGAATGAGAATGCGAAGTTGAAACAGATTATTGAGAAGAATGCCAAGCGTGATGCTGAGAATGGCGAACACAAGGTTAGAATTGAGGAATTGGAGAAAAATAGTGCAGATATTTCAACTGAGAATGCTGAGCTTAAAGCCGAATTAGCCAAATTAAGACATGATTTCGAGAAGTTAAAGACTCGAAGTTATGCTTCTTCTTCCAACCTCATTAGATCTCAGCAATCCCAACATGTTACTAATATGCAGAACTCATGCTCTGTTGGAGAAGAAGATACAATTTCGGTAATAGCTATGCCACAGCCAGATACTGAGCACTCGAACATTAAGTCAATAGAGGATAGAGATACAGACACTTTCTTAGATGTGACGTATAAGAAAAAAGTTAGTGATGAGATTAGGCAGAGGAATAAAGAAAAGAAATTATTGCATGAATCAGCTACCCAGGACTTATCTGGAGTATCTAATAAGATCACCTCTTCTGTAACTCAGAATAAAAAATCTCAATCACATAAGAAGAAGGAAGCAGAGAATATTGTACAAGATGTATTTGATTTCATGACTACTTCGGCACCTGAGAAAAATCATATGACTGAAATTTCCATGACGGGAAACTCACTTCCCGTCACTAAAAATACCGATAAGAAAAATCCCGTAGTTATACTATCTGTAGCGAAAAGCAAACCCTTACTAAATTTAGCCTGTTTATATCAGAAAGCCTGCGACGCAGAAAAGCAAAGAATTGGGGCCAATCAAGATGAAATCTTATGTTGGTATTATTATATTGTAGAATTTGATAATCAAGTAAAAAATATTATGAAAACCGATCGAATTGGTGAGAAAAAGGCGAAAGGACGAATCTATGATTTTATTATTGCGCAACTCAATACTAAACGTAACACATTACTAAAACAGACTCAGAGAGCGAGAAACATATATAAATTATTTGAGAAAATAGGGATAGATAAAATCAGGTATATCACAACATATAGTGTGAATTCTTTATCGGAATTATCTGATAGTCAATTTCAAACTATTGTTGATTATTTCTCCAAGAATCCCAACACTGAATTACCAGATAGGGTCCCTTTGGGTCCTGATCAGGATGGTCCTTTTATAGATTCCAAAGAGGATATTTTGAATGATCAGGATAATATATTTAAGGAGCAACGTTGGCTGCGGTGAGTACATCGGCAAGTGTATCATCTGCATCCCAATCCCGCTCTTCTGGAGCCTCTAAGCCCAATTATTCCTATTTTCGTAACAAGATATTGGATCAATATCCTAATCTATATAGAGAATGTAGTATTGAAAATTTCAATTATTATGGGATTACTGATGAGACAATGTGCAGGGACTACATCTGCCCATTATGCAAATTAGGTCATGATGATGAAGATATAGAAGGTACGTATAATACCAGATCTTACTTTATTAAATATGAACAGCGTAAAATTGAGATAACTGCATAGACCAGATGATTAGACAGCTTTCTATCTTTAATCTTTTTTTTCAAATTAATGACCTGAGGAAGAAAAAGGGATTTAAATTGTTTGCAGTCATATAAAAAGGAAAATGACTGAGTCTGATAAAATACTAACCGCTGAATATCTGGATTGGCATAACAAATTAATTGGATTATCAAGTATTTTGACAGATAAGATTCGTTCCAAATTATACAAAAGATATAAAAAACAAACTGGAAATGAGCCATAGCAACTAACAGAAGTATATGAATCGGAAGTTATAAATTCGAAGCCAGAAAATAAAGCATCATCTTTTCCCAAGCAATGTGAAGAACAAGGGCCTATCACTTTCGAAGTCAAATTCAATTCAGAATTAATTATCAAATCCATCTTAGAGCACTTCCCATACTTGAAATTCCGAAATAGTTTTAGAGGGATTGATAATTATAATTTTGCATCACCTCAACTATGAAGCTCACCATGTCCTATTTGCAATGGAAAACATGGGAATTATGGATTACATGGCGAATGGTATGGAACAGAATATTGTCTTACTTGCTTCACTTCAAGCAATAAATTCAAATTCGCAATCGTAGCATAGTTCAGTTATGTGAGAGACGATCGCCTGAAAAGATATCAGGAAAATTCTTGCCAAAGGAATAGGGGCGATTTGTATTTTTGCATGTATTAATAAAAAATTTTTACACATAACATTGAATATTTCCTATCATATAAAAAACAATATTAATAATCATGTCATCCGAGCTTGAATTATTGAGACAGCGCATTAGAGAGCTTGAGGTTGAGAATGCAGAGCTTAAGGCTAAGAAAGCCAAGTTTAAAGCCGAGAAAGCTGAGTTTATAAATTCTATCAAAAAAGATTACACAGAATTTGAGGGTTATATAGTAAAATTAAAACATCTTAGTTCGCAAAACCCAGACAATCTTGAGAGTATTGAGGCTTTAATTCGTGATATCAAGGCTCAGAATGTAAGGAATAAATCAATTATAGAAGAATATGAAAAGGAACTGGAATCCAAGAAAAATCGCAAATTTCAGACCAGATGCATCCAGATAGCTAAGGAAATTCTTAATGAAGAACCTGTGGTTGAATATCGCCCTCCTTTCTTAAATGGATTAGAACTTGATGCCTTCTTCCAAAGATATCAAATTGCATTGGAAGTGCAAAGGGCTCAGCATCGGTTTCATAGCACCAGCTGATACAAAGATGTCAACAAACTTGAGGATATCATTAATCGTGATCGGAAAAAACGATGCATATGTCAAGATAATGGAATTTCCCTTCTTGAGGTATGGTATGATGAAAAACCGGAAATTGTTATTCTTAAAAGGATACAAAAAATTAAGGAATTCGTTAATCAAGCATCCAAAAGTTTCGATCAATAACCTTATACTGTAGTACATGTAATTCTACTTTAAATTGCAGATAAATATTGCAAAATCGATCGATATTTGTGTGACCTAGACCGATATACCATTAAAATCACGTGAATGTTGATTTATCTACCGCCTAGGAACAGGCTTATCTACCGCAGTACGTGTTTTTTCTTCATATTTTAAAATGTCTGGTCTAGTTGCGAGAATTTTTCGCCCTGCATTACGTACTCTCCAGCCAAAAACTTTTTCCTTAACCTTGCAAAAAAGATCCAGACAATCTAAGCCCACATACGATCTCCATGAGTCGAGTAGAATATTCCCTAAATTCGCGTCTGCGTTCGAACAAGAACATCTTGATGCACTGCAAGTGAGTTTTGAGCCAGCTGACAAGTACGAAGTTATACCACCTGATATTAAAGGTATAAATTACATTATGTCATTATATTAACAATCCACTTAGCAGATAAAATAATTTAAATATTGTCTAGTCACAATTCCGGAAAAATACCTTCTCCCAGAGGTCAATCACAATATGCTTAAAGATCAATATTTCAACGTTGAAAATCTTGAACTTGAGGATGACCGCGTCAAAACATTTGTTGATAAACTACGCGATGTTATCGATAATTCGGGTTTAGATACAGGAACAAGCGAATCTGTGACTGATACACTGGTAAACGATCTGCTAGTTCGTGTTGTCAATTTGGATGATTGGCCCTTTAAAGTTAGGTGGGAATCTGACTACGAGAAAATTTTTCGTTTGTGTGGTACACTTCAATCTTTTAAATTTGCTTATTTTAAATTCTAGACTTCAACCACCCCTCGACCTAATTACGACTAATGGATCTGTGTCAGCAGAACCTGAATTTGTGGTTAATAAGAAAAATATCGCTCTGATAGGTGTAGAGGTATTATGGCTTTTGTCTTATGGCCTGAGAAATCTTAATTATTATTCACTCAGACAGCTTTTTAAAACAGGATAAACACTAGAAAAATAAAAAAATCTACCCCTTGAATGGTTATGGAGAATGTCAAATCGGTGCTGAAATACTTGCCTGCGGGTATGAGAATATGATTGAGGGTAATATTGATCAAGAAATTTTTGCCTTCCGTGTCATCTCTACGTATGTAACGTTTTATCGAGCTGAAATTCCCGCTTCATATTGGAAGGAATTTGTTGTAAGACTGCCAAAAAAGCAGTCAGTCGTGATTAAAAGGTGGCCAAAGGAAAATAATAGTAAGAGATCTGGTTTAAATCTTGCTGAACCAGATGGAAGAAAGGCGGTGATAACGGATCTTATCAAGATTCGTCAACATCTTTTGAATAAATCATAACAGATTATAGGGTTAATTTAGCAGTGTTTTATTTCGGTAATGTGTGATAGGTTTATAGAATCGACATATAACTTCCGAAATCTTGGATTGAGGAAGATTTATTAATAAAAATTTTTTCTTAGCGTGAATTTTTTTCACGGTGTCACATGATTTTTATTTCAGAGTAGTGCGATTTATTACTTAAACATAATACAGATAAAATAAATTCATTGGGAATGGATCATATTATATGTACTACATTAAATTCTTTTAGAGAGTCCTGGCCGGATGTAGACACTTCTGTATGGGATATTTTAGCCAGAAGAATTCGTGAATTGCTTTTATGCCCAGAATGCCACGAACCTATTTTCACAAATCCGCAACAAAAGAATATTACTATTCTTACAGATAGACGAATGATTCACAGTGTTTGTCTTGAATGTCCTGCTACCAAAGCCGAAGAAAAAAATGATGTTTCTCAGATCAAGGCTTCACAGAATACTAAACCCTCGAATCATGACATTTTGCGTCCCCAATCATCGCATGATAACTTAGCATTACCGAATGTGAAAACCAAGCTTGAAGCACCTATTATAGAACAAGAAGTCTTAGAGCAAACTCAAGACATTACTAATTTGCAGGATGTGTGTTCTATTGAAGATATTTCTTCCGAGAAAGCCCCATTGGAGGATAGAGAGATGAATGCTTTCTTGGGTGAAGAATACAAGAAAAAGGTTAGTAATGAGATCAGGCAAAGAAATAGGGAAAAAAAGCTTCGAGACTTGGATTTACCTAGTACTTCTGATATCCCTTCGACAGAATCATCCACAAGTTCGCATCCTATCCCTAATAACCCCGTCTTATCAGAACAAAATGCTAAAATAAAAGCACCTGAAATAGATATACAGCCTTTGATACAAGAAT